AGTTAACAGGGCTTATTAAGGACTTAATTAAATTGTTTAATCAAATTACTAAATTAATTGGCAATTACAAAATAGCTTTATAATTATGGTTTAAAATTAATCCAAGATATAAATACCTTGCTATAGCCTCTAAACAAAATGAGAGAGAATGGCTAAAAAATTAAGAGAACGGCACATTAGAAATTCTTTTTGCCTTGTTGCTTCTTATGTGAAGAAAAAATAGTTTTTTATATACTTGATTTCTTTTATGTGTTCAGCCCCAAAATTTTGTGCGGATTATGAGTTTATGAAACTCATCTTTGCTAGAACTTTGTCAAGACATAGCACTCCCAATCCTTAAAGAAGGATTTTCTAATTCATTAGTATGGATCACCATAAAAGGCTACACAAGGATTTTTTAGATAGTTTTGGTTTGCAACAGCCATGCTGAAGTGGTTGACTTTTTGAAGGCTAATTTGGTGGTTTAACAAAAAATTCATTAACCTTTGTTATTTAAGTAAACATGATATGATCATATATATTTTATTTTTAATTTAATTATGTACTCAATTTGGCATGAAAAAGATCCTAGAATGATGAGACGTACTTTAATTTTTAAATTTATTTTCACTACATTTTTTTTTGTATTTGATGCATGATCAACCGTCACCCAACATTCCTAATCCAATTATTTAAGCGCAAATCCTTCTTTAGCAAGCTAAACCCATACCATAGAATATGGATTGCATGAGTGTTAGCTCTAAATTCTCCAATCCAAGCCAAAGAGGGAAAATTACCAAATCTAAAAAAAAGTCATATTTTGAAATTATTAGCCAATTAAATGAAAAAAAAATAGTAAAAACATTAAATTTTACCTCCAGGATGGTTTCCTAAGCTCCAAACAACATCAAATAACTTTAAAAATCAATTTTAGGGTTAGGGTTTTGAGTTTTCTAGAGAAAGAAAGGGAAAGAAAGAGATAAGAGTGAGATGGGGTAGAAATGGCTCAAAACCCCTTTTTATTGTTTGATAACTCTAGTATATAGAGTTATTTTAACATATTTTGGGGCCATAAGTAGCTAGATCTTTGAGATTTTAGGTTTGAATTTTAGCATTTTAGGTGTTTTTCTAGTTTAAGTTTGATTATATATTGACTAGTCAATTTAAGTTATTTTAGTTTAATTTTATGTTATTTTTTAAAAATTTGTTTAAGAGTAGCTATTTCTAATTTCTTTTATTTCTTTTGTAAGAAATTTGATGAAAAAGGCTCATTTAATGAAAAATCTGTGTAAGTATGGTGATAACTTTATTTGTATATATTTTGGTATTTTAACCATATCTATTTGTACATAACTCAAAATGAGGTAATTGCTTAACTCCTAGAATGCTGCATAGAAGGGCTACAACTTTTATTTTTACCAATTCATCCAATTCTGATTGGATCATGGTCAAAATATTTGTCTAAGTCGGAGCACTGCAGTAGTATGCATGGACTGAACATGATGTGATATTTGGAGTATATATTTCACTCAAAGAGTCCAATTGATGTGATTCTTGACCCATTGAAAAGCTAAGAGACATGGCTAAACTTTTCATATTTACCACTTGACCCAGTTCGGATCATATCAAAGTAAAAATTACATTGGAATATGCTCTACTGCTGCAATTTTGCACAAGGCAGCATGTGGAGATGGCCGAGGACTTAAGTTACTCAAGGTTGCAGCGCCAAGGAAGCCAAGGTCTTAGCATTAAGGAGAACAAGGCTGCAATACTGGTGAAAGGAAGTGCACGGTACATTTTTTCGAGGCTAGAGCGTTGTGATGTTACTGTAGCAAAAATTCAACACCGTGGAGCCAAGAAATATGGCAGCGGTGCCAGACGATTTTCCAAAAATAAAAATTTGATAAGATTTTTTGAATTTAGGTTACTTGGAGCCTATTTAAGGGACATTTTTCAAAGGTTTTAAGGGAAAGGTAGCAAACAACTACTTTGGAGAAAAGAAGTCAAGAACAAAACATGAAAACAAGAGAATTTGAGATCATAAAGCTTCAATAATTAGTTTCTTTCTCTACTTTTGTGTTTCTTTTTTTTTTTTTACTTGAATTCATGGCTAAATTTCTTTGGATGTTGTTTTTATTAGTTATTATGAGCTAATTTATCTTGCTAGGATTGTGGTGGATTTCAACATGTAGTTTGAATAGTAGTTTCTCTTTTATTTATTATGAATGGGTATAGTTTTGCTTATTCAAATATGTTTTTAATACTTTTGATTGTCTAGCAAATAGTAACTTATTTGTAAATTTAATTAAGATTTGACAAAGAGATTTTAGATTGGACTAAGATTTGAATAGTGTATGTTCATGTTACTTCGGTGATCTGATTCGCAATTTGGGTAAACATACGCCAATTACCATACATAGCCAAGTTAAAACACTAGCTTAATAAACCTTATTTAATTGATTCCTATAGATATATAGTGACTTAATTAAGTTAGGTATTTATACAAGTATCTCGACGGAGACTTGTACATATATTTGGATTTTAAGTTAGTAGAACTATCTATGACTGTAAATAAGAAGAGATGCTGGTATCAGATGAAGTGTTGAATGAACCCATAATCTTAAATTTTAGTCTATTGCCTTTTCCCAAGTAATTTTAATTTCAATTAGTTAACTTAATGCTTGTTTTAATTAGTTTTTTGAAAATTTTAGTTACAATAATATGATTAATTTGTCATAAATTTTAGTACTTAGTAAAGATTTAGGAACAAATCTCCATGGGAACAATACTCTACTTCATTAGTATATTACTTATTTGTGACAATGTGCACTTACATGAAAATTTGACAATTTTTTTACCTTTCCTTAGTGATGTATCAATACATTTGACAATATCTCGATACATCTGTCCTAATTTCAAGTAAATGTATCAATACATCGAGGTAATGTATTGATACATTTAAGGTAAAATGCTCATTGCCCAACCATGTATTGATACATGAGGGGAATGTATCGATACTTTTTTCCCTAAGTGCTTTTTGCTTCAAATGTATAGATGCATTAAGGTAATGTATTTATTCATGTTTATCAAATTTCCAAATTTATCGATACATCCTTAAATGTATCGATAGAATTCTTCCAAAGCACCTCATATTGTTCTTTTTATCAAGAATGTATCGATACGTATCGATACATGAGGGGAGATGTCGATACATTTTCCTCTGTAAGCAGTTTTGAGCTTCCAAAAATCTAAGTTTAACACTCCCAAAATCATTCTTTGTTAATATCACACATCAAATCATTTATTTAACTTAATCTCATATACATAAATTCACAAACATAACATCAAACTTAGATCAAAACCTCAAACTATGAGATTTATCACATATTTTCTCAAAATTTTGCCTAAGTGTCAATATATGCACTCTCAAACACTTGGCTTACACATCCTATCACAAGGTCCTCAAGACTTCACATATTTCATAAATTGTCTTTAGTTTACTTAATTTACATAAAAAATTAAGGGTGTTTCATATTGTCTCAAAATTAAAGATATTCTCTCAAAAAAAAAAATTGCTTGCTTTAAATTGAATGTAAATCTCCTACCCTTAATGGATGCCTTTTTTCCAACCTTTTTAATAATATTATGTCATGTGTACTCTCACTAGTAGTGATACTAAGACTTGTTTGTTTTCAAAACTCCTTTCTTATTCGTTCCTTTTTTTTTTACTTACTTTCTGTCACGTAAAATGATTTTTCATTCATTCATTTTTTTTTTGTCTCTCATATTTCCTCCTGACAAAACATTACTGGTGAATAATGCAAGATGTTAATGAAGTATTTGGGTTTTGCCCTTTTGGTTTTTTTCTCCTTTTTATTGGTCTCATAGAAAAATATGATCCCATTTTCTTGAAAGATCATCTCTTTGCTTCGCTTTGTTTTTTTGTTTGGTTTCTTCAACTTTTGTTTGGGTTCTTTGTTTTTTTTTTTTTGGAGGAAATGAAAGGAAAATCTTATTTCCATCAAAGCTCAGCCCAAGGCCAGATTCATCTGCTTTTGTTGCTTGAACAACAACGAGCAAAAAAAGATTCATTTACTTTTCTTCTCGTTTTGATTCCTATACCAACCCAAGGCCATGATTCATCTGATTTCATTGTTGGAACAATTTGTTAGAGAAAGAGGAAATACGAGAGAGAGAAAAAAAATTAATGAATGAGAAATCATTTTATGAGAGAGAAAGGAAGGAAAAAAAATTAATGAATGAGAATGAGTTTTGAAACCAAAAGAGCCTTAGTATCATTACCAGTGAGACTACCCATCCCATAATATTTTTGAAGGGCAGAAAAAGGGCACCCATTAGGGCAGGAGATTTTCTTTCCTTTAAATTGCCAAAATAACCCTAACAATGCGTATGACACTTGCGTCCTATAAGAGAGTGTGGATCGAAATATATATAGAAGTTGGCAGCTTTTGGACATTAGACTTGGCAGAAAACTTCTAGCCCAGCGAATCTGTATATACCTACACGTACCAACCTTTATTTATATTATAATATGTATAATTAAATTGTGTGTTGAGCTGTAATTTTCAAGTAGTGGTGATGCATTTTTGTAATGAAACTTACAGTTGTTGCAGGCGCCAGCCATCTTTTCTTAGGACCTTTGATATTCTTTGCTTCCCACGACATGTTCCAGCAGAATTCATTTATTTATTTATTTATATAAAGATTGTCGTCAAGCCTGAACGTAGCGTCATGGCAGCTAAACTCTAGTCTATTTTTCACGTCAACCGGAAAACAGTACAAAAATCAAATATAAAAGAAGAGGAAAATTGGAAATGTCATGAGCCCAGCGTCCGCAAGAAAATTGATAAGTCAAAGGTGTCACATGGTATTAAAATCGCCAAGAACTCTTTGTTGTCTCCGGATTTCGGCCAAACAGAATGGGATCTTAGCGAGCCTGCTTTGCAAACTTCGTCAACCAATAATATTCATGATATGCTAATTAAGAAAGGTATGACTTTATGCAATGGAGTTTCCATTCTCCCAAACATCGATTTTCTTCGGATGACCGACGAGGTAAAAGCCCTTCACTTAATCATTTCTCCGATCCAAACGGCCGCCATGAATTTAGCTCTTAATCTCCTTTTGTCACTGCTTTCATCAATCGCATTGTGCACCAGTGTCCTTGCCTTAATACCTATTATAGGTAATTACTACCCGATTGAGCGAGATGCTTTGCTGCAACTGAGGGATTCTCTTGCTTCTCCAAAATTGCACTCAAATTGGACGGGGCCTCCTTGTATGAACAATCAAAGCAGATGGGTGGCATTGCTTGTTCAGATGGACATGTCGTGCGTCTCGTCCTTGATGGAATTCAGCTAACAGGATCTCTGCCACCTGCATTTCTACAGAACATATCTTTCTTGACTAAACTAAGCCTCAGAAACAATTCAGTTTTCGGACCACTTCCGAATCTGACAAATCTAATACACTTGGAATATGTTTTCCTCTCGCATAATCTGTTTACGGGTTCAATCCCTTTTGATTACATTCAACTGCCAACCTGAAGAAGATTGAGCTGCAACAGAATTATCTACAAGGAGAGATTCCGCCTTTCAATCAACAAAACTTGGTAGCTTTCAACGTCTCTTATAATAGCCTTCAGGGCCCAATTCCTCTGACCGATGTTCTTCAAAGGTTCCCTGAGAGCTCTTATCAACAGAACTCAGGTCTGTGCGGCAATCCTTTAGAGAAAAAATGTCCAGTCCCACCTAACCCACCCATTACACCGACTCCATCACCGCCGGACAGCAGCAAGAAGAGTTTTGACGCACGGAATTTAGCTTTGATCGTGGCAGTATCTGTCCTGGTTCCTTTTGTGGTCATTTTCGTTTTCTTATGTTATTATAAGAGGGTGCAAAGGAAGGAAACGACTAAAAGGAAAAAAGCAGGTATGTACAAGAACGATATATTTGACATCACATATTTGGAAACTTTAATTTTAATTAAAACAATTTTGAAGGTTATGTTTCCTACCCGATTCCCTTTCTTAAGACATATTCGGAATCGTCAGCTTCTGTTGAAAGCACACCATCTTGTTTGGCTCAGTGTATTAGCATTATCTTTTGCTTGGGGGAAAATGATGTTCAATTTGACATCTTTCTTCCTTTCTCTTATTTTCCTCCACAAACAGGTGACACTTGTATAGAGTTGGCAGAGAAAAGAATGCCTTCTTCTCAAAGAGCGGAGGATCCAGAAAGAAGGGTTGAGTTAGAATTTTTTGACAAGAATATACCAGTTTTTGACTTGGATGATTTGCTAAGGGCATCGGCAGAAGTCTTAGGCAAGGGAAAATTAAGCACTACATATAAAGCGACGTTGGAATCAGGACTTGTTGTTGCGGTGAAGAGAGTTAAAAGCATGAATAGCTTGAGCAAGAAGGAATTTGTCCAGCAGATGCAGTTGCTAGGAAAGCTTAGGCATGAAAACCTGGCACAGATCATTTCTTTCTACAATTCCAAGGAGGAGAAACTGATAATCTATGAATTCATACCTAATGGCAACTTGTTTGAGTTATTGCATGGTGAGTTTTAGTTCTTATCCCTTCATTTTCTTCTTGATCAATTTTTTTCTTTAATTTTTCCACAAGATTACACAACAATATAATTAAGTTAGACGCAAAACTCTGTGGATATATGCCAGAAAATAGAGGCGCCGGAAGAGTACCATTAAATTGGACTACAAGACTGGCTATAATCAAAGGTGTAGCAATGGGTATGAATTTTCTTCACCAATACTTACCTTCTCACAAGGTGCCTCATGCCAATCTCAAGTCTTCCAATGTTCTCATCCATCGCCAAAGCCAAAACTACCATTCCAAGGTCACGGATTTTGGATATTACCCATTGCTACCATCTCGAAAATCCTTAGAAAGGCTAGCCATTGCCAGATCCCCAGAATTCTCTCAAGCAAAAAAGCTAACGCATAAAGCCGACGTGTATTGCTTTGGTATTATCTTACTAGAGATCATAACTGGAAGGATCCCTGGAGATGAAATTTCCGGGGGAAATCATGACAATAGAGCTGATGGCCTTTCGGAGTGGGTTAGAGCTGTAGCTAACAATGATTGGTCGACTGATATATTGGACGTAGAGATTGTAGCTGCAAGAGAGGCACACGATGATATGTTGAAGCTCACGGAACTAGCTTTGGAATGTACAGACGTGGCACCAGAGAAGCGGCCAAAGATGAGCCAAGTTTTGAGAAGGATACAAGAGATCGAGCAAACTAGCAGTGAAAGTCACTGAGATTATGATTATTATTTCAATCTTTGTTTGCACATTTCAGATTTTGCCTTGCACAATGATCTTTGTCGGGGCATGTTCATAAGAATATGTTAACGTAGCAGCCTTGTGTAGCGGTAACTAACTACACTTTAGAGTTTGCTTTTTTCTTGGGAAAATCCCTCTCAAGTGTAATTAAGAAAAACCAAGCCTATAAAGTGTGATATGGTAGTCAGTAAAGCTACATTTGTTGATAATGGAAAATTGCATCAAGAATTCGTCAATTTCATTAGCGCTTGCGTTGGTCAGTAATAGTATTAGACAATCGGCAAATCATCGAGAACAAAATTGATGATCCAAATTAACACCGATGGTCATATCCGTTGGTAATGTAGGCCATGTCCATTCATTTTGGGTGCCACTTCCATTGGTGTTGATAGTCAAAATCCCTCAGTAATGGTTTCAATTCCATCCGGAATGCGAAAAGACATTTTTCAAAAAATTTAAATTAATTGGTGTATTTGATTCTTTATTGTTTTTTAAATGAATTAGTGTTCATTAGCGGAAAAATATTAATAAAAATAAAAAAATTGTAAATTATTTAAAAAATAAAAAATATATTTTAAAAAAGAATAAAATGTATTATAAATAAAAATATAAAATAGTATAATTTTTATTACAAAAACAATGAAACCTAATTGCGAAGAAGTGTTCTTATCCCTCATTGTAATGTTAGCTTCTCTAGTATTAGATGGCCCCGACTACTTTAATGAATAACCAAAGGCATTTCCTTTGACGTACTACACAAGATGCACAATGGTCGTCTCCAAATTTTGTAAAGAAGTCTTAATTGTGGCAACTTCTTGCTTGAGTGTGAAACCCCAACTTTTCATTAAAGGATAGAATGGTAAATCCTTAAATAAGTTTGTAAATTTCTTGTTTTTGAACTTTACCATTGAAAAATCTTACATTTTGAGCTACTAAGTTATTTTGGTAAGTAGTCGAAAGTGTGGTGTCAAAATAAATGTATTTTCAAGTGGATTTCACATTTTGGATCAAAAGTATCGATACTCATGAATGAAGTATTGATACTTGTTATTCAAAAAACTTTAGAAAGGATTTTGAAGAACAAGTATCAATACCTAGTTTAAAGGTATCAATACTTGAAACCCAGAAACAAAAGTATCAATGCTTTCTTTCTAAGTATTGATACTTGTTGCTCATTTAAACAAAAATAAAAAGGGTAAAGTAGTATTTTAACCCCTAAAGTTACCTTTTTATGGCTTTTCTAAAACCGTTTAGCCTCTATTTCGCCTCCCTTTCCCTTTTTCAACACCTCTCAACCTCTCTCTGCTTATTTCTCTTTCTAGAACCTTCATTCTTGAAGATTCAAACTTGGTTTTTGATTTTGAAACCAGCAAGGTGAGCTTTCGACTCTTTAACTCTTCAAAACTCTGATTTTCAACCTTTGATTTTCACATTTTCAATAGATTTGAGTTTCTCTCTCTAAAGGTTTGGTTCCTAACTTGGTTTCCTCTCACTACAAGCTTACTAAGATAAAAAGAAGGTAGATTTAATGTTAAAGTTGTTAATTCATGATTAAACAATAGATTAACTAGTTGAAAGTTTAGATTAGTCAAGATTTGGTTAGGGTTACTAATAGCCTAGCCTCAAAATTTGAGATTTATAGTTAAAGTTGTGTTTACAATTGTGTCGTTATTGTTATAGGGTCTATTAAAGCTCCAAGGATTTAGCTAGAGTGAAGAGTTAGTGTTTCGAACACATGATAGTCGATGAATTGTTCAAGGTGGGTAGGCATAGCGTTTTAAGTATTTATGCATAAAATTGAGCATATTTATCAAGTTGGTGCCTTGCATGATTTTTATGTTGAATTCCATATACATGAAAAGTTTAAAATCGTTTTAAGTGTTTTTCAAAGAAGGTTTTCTAATGTATATATAATATGTAAATATGAATACTATGTAACACTTTTGAATAAGGGGGAGCCAAGCCCTTTCAAATGTTTTCCTTCAAATAAATCCTAAATAGTATGGATGATCTGAAATTGTTGCAAGGCTATGCATGCGTGGATGAATGAATACCCACCTTTATGATAATGTGAGTGTGGATAAATGAGTACCCACTTTTTATGACTATGTGATTAATATGATGTAAGAATATGATTCTGACAATGATGACCATGAATTGATATGAGTATGATGATGTGAAACCCGTAGTTTTCGTAACCTGGACAATTAACTTGGTGAGCTTAGGAAATACCTTTGTTAACTTAAAAACCTTGATTTCATTCTTCAGAATTCATAATTGGAAGTCATGAAGGTTGTGGAAAAGATTTAGAATGAGTTTAGGCTTCAAAAGAACCAATTTTTATGAATTTGACCTCCAAGGTCGATCCTAATGCATGTAGGGTCGAATCTGTAAATTAAAGTTTAGGGGTAAACAATAGCACTAGCCCAAGATCAGGTATGAAACCCTTGTAGTCACTCCTAGGGAAGGAAATGAGATTGAAGACAAATAATCTAGTCCAGGGTTGAGTTCCAAGCGCCCATAGTCTATCATGAGGTGTCAGATCGGTAAAAAAATTAGGCTTAAAAGCCCTAAAATCGAAAAATCCTTCATTTTCTCTTATTTCTTCATTCTCTAATTTGATTTCTCTCAAATTTTCTACCTTTCAAAACCTTCAAACTCCATCAACAAATCTTGGAGTCTTAGTGCCAAAGGTACGGATTACCCCTCCCAAATCCTTGGTTTTGATAATTTTTGTTTCTCTGACTAAAAGCTAGAAATTTTTTTAGGTTTTCAAGATTTGGCTAGACCTCTCCATTAGAAACTCACCAAGGAGGAAAAATAGGTAAAATAAGTTCTCAATTTATTGGGTATGAAGTTTGGATGAAAGATTAGTGGAATTAATTGGAAATAAGTGAAGATTTAATAGGTTTAGAAATGGTTATTCAAAGTATTCCGAAATTTTAGGGGCTTTTAAGGATATTGATGGTTGAATTTCATTTTATTGGGACTTTGAGAGTACTTATGTTTGAAAATCATTTCTAGGTGATATTGGAGTAATTTAAGTTGTTGAAAAAGCTGAGCTTTAGACGAAAGGTGCCAAGAGGAAAAAAAGTGCATTTCAAAAGGTGGGTAGATACGGTATTTTTAATTATATGAATATAATTAAGCATGTCTAATCTAGAACCTCACATTAAAATGCATTTCAATGAACTTTGTGATGTAAAACAAGGGTTTCAAGTTGTTTTATGAAATATAATTATACTATGTAAATATGTTATTCTGTATTTAGTTTTAAGCATGGGGAATAAGTCTCTCAAATGTTTGATACCTCAAAAATTAATGTTTGTCTGTGACTAGTTGAATGATTGCAAATTTGAAAATTTAAATGAAATGATTTATTTTGCATAAACCCTAGCATCGAGTCAATTTGTCTTGAGATTGATGATTTGATTTAGCTTTGTTTTGAATTTCAATTATGTTGATGATTGAGAATATACTTTACTTGGAAATGGAGTTTGTACACTTTGTCTTCATTTTGTTTGAACCCTTTGATCTTGGGTGGTTAATGGATTCACTTTTTCATTTGGAAATGAATATTTGGATATTTGGAAACATAATACAAAATGTTTTAGTGGAGCCTACTTGAGCTATGGACCTATAGCTAGTGACAATAGCCACCAGCCATTGTGCACAATGCTTAGCTATGAATGGGTAGTTAACGGAATCTTACCCTTTTGATTTGGTTTCATTTGGTAATTGATACAATTCTACTACCTTTGATATAGAATTTGATGACTATCATGTATCTGACAACTGTGATGCTACGACACACTTTGATTTGGTTGTCCATGCTACTTAATGCTCTACAATTTAATCAAAATGATATTCTGCACTATGGAATTAGGACTTGACTTTTGTTTTGAACATTAGATTTGGTATTGATATTGTTTTGGCCTTGGACTTTGGATTGGTATTTGTTTAGACTTTGGTCTTGGACTTGACATTTGTTTCAACCTTGGTGCCTGGGTTTCATATTTGTTTGATGTTGACATTTGGATTTGATATCCATCTCGACCTTGATTTTGGTTTGCAAATTTGCCTTGACTTTGGTATTTAGACTTGGCATATAAATTTACTACGACTTATGTTATTTTTTATATCTATTAGTTTTTTTCATGGGTTTTCTAAAGGTAATGATATTATTTCATTTTGAAACTAAACCTTCGTTTTCCTTAACATATTTTACAAAAATTTTTAAACTTGATATTATTAACTGATTTTCTCAAAAATACTTGAACGTTTTACAAACTATTATTCTCATTTCAAAGGCTTATGAATGGGTTTTCAACAAAACCTTATAAAATCATTTTAAATGAGTTTTTATCCATTGAGACGATGATTTGAGATCACTTGGGTAACTGATCATGCTAGACACATAACTCGCACCTTGGGATGTTTGATTTTGTATGGGGATTTACTTCCCAAACTCTTTAAATATCTGATATGTTTGAAAGGAAAACTTTGATATTATTTGAAATGTATTATTTGCATTACTTTTGAAAGTATCTTAGATAAACACTCTCTTGTTTAGCTTGTTTTCCCTTCTTGTATCTACTCATGGAGTTATTTATAACTTACACATTTAAGATGCATTTACTTTGCAGATTAGTAGTTACTTAGCTCGTTGTCCTTTGGGAAGAGCCAACACTCTAGTTAGTCTTTGGTAGGTGATTTATGGCATCCAATAGGTGTCAGCCCTTTTGTTTCAAGTCATACTCTGCTGGTTCTATTTAGTTTGGTCATTTTGTTTGACTGTTATGGATTTGACTATGTTTATGTCTTGTATTAATGACATGTATATGGATGTTGCCAAGTAATGGCCACACTACGTATATGCCACAAGATGGCCTATAAATGATACTTTGCTATGTGTTGTTTAAAGGTTGTGCTTGAACCTTGAAAAGGTAATGGCTATGCTTGGTTCTTGAAAAGGC